GTGACTTTTATATGAAAAGCAAAACGGAGCCGCAGTCCTGGCAGTGGTGGGGAGTGCGGTCACTTCAGTTCCGTAACTTTGACACCGCGAGGTCGTTGGTTACTCGCACACATAGGCTCGATTATAATTCACAGACAATCGCCTTCCCGCGCGGCCTGTGGGCGCCCTGCATCGACATGCCCAAGCCGACATTATCGCCAATATCGATGTTGCGTGAGTAATTGCGATAATCAATCTAGTTTTTATTGTGTTTCGGACCAAAGGAACAAGGGCAACATTTGAGTGATTAGAAGATATTAGTTTGCCCACACTGTATGAAGGTTCTCTCTCAATCAATAGACATTTGGAAACCATGTAATTACATTAAAATGTTTGTTAAGTTGATGTTGTTTGTGTTTTAAATGGTTTTTGATGAATGCGTTGCAATATGTTGCAGCTAATCACCTACCCACTACACTATATTTAGTTTAACAAGTCTATGTTATGGTGCTCTTAAAAGTATAATTACTCGTGCAGCATGATGAGCAAACTATTCACTATAATGCACACAGATACAGATTTTCTGACTTTATATGTGTAAGTGTATTACAAGTTCCCTACACGTACATTAATCGGAATTGACAAATTCAATTAGATTGCCTCAAATTACCAGCTGGGTGTTATAATTACATAGAGTGTGTGATTGCGACAAACCAATATCAAATGCACTGGGTTCGACCACACGATCAAATAATAGACTTGGTATAAGTACGTACATAGTTGGCTAGTATTCTATTTCCTAACCGATGTTCGTAATGCGATCACGACACTTGATATCGTAAATTAAGTGTTGTTGTAACTAATGAACTTTTGTTACTTCATAAAAATAAACAGACTGGTCTACTCGTAGCAAATAAAGTACTATGTAAAAGACGTAGGGTTTGATAACTTGGTTGACTAAAACAATACGGTTCAAACAACAAATAGTAGCAACAAAGTTTACGGGTAGCCTGAATTAAACCGTCACCGCTGCCTGCAACATTAAAGGCATCACTGTGCTTTGTCGACCATGAAGGAATTCTTTTACGCCCTTATATTGTTTTTTTCTTCGTTACCTGTTATATTTTTTTTTTAATTTTCGTGTAGATTTAGAAAATTGGTTTTCTCTTGGTGTATGTCATACATAGTCGCATAGAATAAGTTGCCAGGGTAAGTCAGGTATAACAATTAACCGACTCCAAAAAGAAGAAGGTTCTATTGCAACAAGTGTGCGTGTAGTATGTGATAAAAATACACTTTGTTTACAGCATGGCCTTAATGAGCACGCTTTGGCTATTACAGTACAGCAGTTAACAACCGTTTCAGCATTCAATTAGGTATTAACTAGACCGTTTTAGATAATGAACAGTATTTATTTTTATCGAGGATCATCTAACTGACGTCTTAACGAGTATTAATTCATCATTATCACAACCCGTGGCAGTACAGTGTTGGAGTTGCATTTAAAACGGTTCAGCTTTGTGGCAGATCGATATTGCCCAGTCTCTGTCAAATATGTTGTCCCTTAGTTTGCTCTTTGACACTCTGTGACTGTTAAATGACCCTCTGTAGTATTAAAACCGTTTAAGGAGATTAAAAAAAACACTCATATTTAGGAATTTAGGTATAAATTTTACTAGATTATTGGAAGATTTAGACATGTTTATGTTCTAGTTAATAATGCAGATAGTATAAATTCACCCAGGGCTGATGCTGATACGGAGCCGCGGGGGACTTAACGGGTTGCCTGGGTCCGGTTCGAAGTGCAGGAGTAAGAACAGGGTGGTATTTTAGTCAGAGTCTGTCACTCCCTCCCGCCACACCCAGGCGGGGAAAGTCATTCGATGATTTTCGCCCTTAAAAATATAAATTCACCCATTTTATTACCACTTAAGTAAGTACCAATTCTAATTCAAAACTATACGAGATTAAGTTTTCAAACTTTATGAGTTTACTTCTTGAATTGTTTAATTAATTTATTTTTTCCGACTCCTCAATGAATAAGTAGCCCAAATTATTTTATTTGCTTCAGTGATTGAACTCTTGGAACTTCATGATTGACATACTTGTACATACATTATATTTTGACAATCCCTCACTATGACACTGACACGTAGTTAATACAATTGTATACATTTATGTACTTCTCGAACTCTAAAACAATAGCAGAATTACAAAACTTTCAGCCTAGAATTCAGATTAATTTCAATCGAATATTCAAAATATTTGAAAGGTGCTCACGATTGTAACTGATTTAATTGTTCGGAGTACATTCTGCAAAAGGTCCCTATTATCGGTCGATAGGTCCGGCAATCTGGGTGTTTCTAGTCGTGAGTCGGTAGAACGATCGTCACGGAAGCCAATACTTGTGATCTAAGTATCTAAATTACATAAATATTGTACACAAGGTCGACAGTAATAATAGATTTGGTTGAAAGGTAACAAAAAGCGATAGTTCAGAGGTTATTTACCCTCTAATTGTCTGACCGTGACTCGGAACTCAGCTATTAATATTAATCAGAACTTATTGTGGACATTTCTTTGTCTGCGGCTAACAATAGTATGTAATGTGATCTACTCTTGGAACATTAGATACTTTATATGCCTGTATAATTAATTTCGTGGAATATTATTATTTATTAGGAAGTAGGTATTACTGATTTAGGCATGTATAAGTTTCATTATGAAATAAAAAAAAATATAAAGCACACAAAACTTCGTAACATCTTGGCTCTAAAATGTTTAGTTTGGTCGTTAGTTAGAAAGATAATTTAATTTGATTGTTTAAGATAAAAGAAGAAAATTATATTAACATAAAATAACATAACATCACGGCTTTATCCCCGCAGGAGTAGGCAGAGGTGCACATTACGGCACTTAATGCCACTGTACAATGTAACACCCACTTTTTAATATTTTATGTTATAAGTCTTTGTTCGACCCGGGAATCGAACCCGAGACCCCTTGCCCGGCAGTGCGACCACTCGGCCAACGAGGTAGAAAATTATGTTAATATAGGACTACTACATACATATGTTTTATTTATTATTCGATGATTCTTTATTACCATAAATTCATTTCTTTAAGGAATTCCGGATCGTTAATCCTGACCTGGATTCCGGAAGTTTTGAGTGTGTTATTGTGAGTATATTGTTATTATCTACCTAAACGTATGTATATTCCGGTGTAGTTCTTAATCTGATTTAATTTACATGTTTCGCGTCCGACATATCGATTTAGATTGTTCCGGACTGCGGCCGCGACTTGACATGCGGAATACGATGCAGCGACAGTATCAGAATCTATACGCCGTAACCGGTTCAGATATAGACAAGTAAATATTTTGGCTTCATTGTAATTTTAAGAAGGTTTACCATAAAATTGTATATTCAGTGAAAAGTTAGAAGTAAATTATTATTAATTAATTATTTGGTTAAGCACCAAAATATTTACAAGGTACTGTATGGCACATTTTAATTGAATATTTTTAAACCCGTTTGAATGGTCAGAGGAAATAAGTTAACATCTTACATCCGTAGCTTAATGCTGAAGGTAATAGCCGGCTGTCCGAGGTACTCGACCTGGATGTCTAAATATTATCATTTGCCTACAAACCGGTTGGACGCCAACGAATTTCTTCATCAAAGAAAAGTCCAGTAGCAAATTACCTTTTTAGCCTTTGAAGAATAATGATTTTGAAGAGCTTAATTATCCCACCAGCCTATAATTTAACCGAGGTGTTAATCTAACTTTAATTCACAAGTAACTTTGACGAAACCGTTTGAATTAAATTATTAAATTAGTATGTGTAATGTATATTAACTATGCCGTTGCGTTAAATGATGTTATTGCAAAACTAAACTTCGTAGTTGAAGTGAAATGAGTGCAATATCAGTAGCAGGGTGAACAGTGAATGTTTTAGGAGTAGTGTGCCGAACACTTTAAGATACAACTCGTTGCTTGTGACATCGTAAACTTGTAAATCTAGCCAGTTATCTACTGACAGGGGCGTTAACAGGATTGCTTGCGACGTAGAAATTATATGTGCTATTTGTCAGTGGTGTAGCATTACCTGTGTATTGAGAAATTACCTGCGTATTGGAACTGTGTAGGCCTAAACGAGAAACAAGCTTTCAAATACTTACTTTACAATATAACATAGTACTTGTAACTTCATATTTCTTAGATAAATCCATTGTTTCAAGAAGTAAATTAAGGCAACGGTGGAAACAATAAGGTCGAAATTACCTTGAGATATGTTTGTTTCAAGGTACTACAATCACGACACAGAACAAACTGTGGCCCTAATGATATGAATAGTGTATGAGAGTGACAATTTGCACAGTTATGCCGTATGATAATACACAACTTATCCTTGAGAGCTATCGTTAAATTTAGTGGCAGTAAAGATGCGATACTTTGGAATGAAAACAAATAAAACCTTTGTTACTTTGTGTATTTTTCCGATTTCAACCAATTTTTAAGTTAACTTTGTTATGCTGTTTTTCAATGGATTATGTTGGTCTCTCAGTACACTAAAATCAGTCGCTAAACTGTAATACTTCGCCACGTAAATGTCAAGGCTTCAACCACCATAAATATATCCATTGGCAGAATGGTACCTATCTATGCAAAGTACTTCAAATGACCTATTGTTTGAAAGGTTTCATGGCTTTGAAAATGTATCGAACCTTAACAAACACAAGCTTACTATTTGTATTGACTATTTACTTAGCATAATCTCTTCAATCTCTCAGCCTACACGTTTGCAAATTAATTACAATCGCGTTCCTGATAGATATTCGACAACTGGCAAAGCTTTCAACGGACAGAATTTGCTGGTTTCACTAAAAACAAACTTTCGTAACATTGACAGCTGTTTTATATACTTTGTAACACTAAAAGTGTAGGTATATTTATTTAATTTTCCTACAATCTACATCGGTAATTACGTGGAAAATATGTGTGTGTATGCAAATTATCAATTAAAAAAGGCCTTGTTTTTTATGTTAATTTTAATGACTATTATCTATAAACAAAAGAACATACACGAAGATCACAGCGAGTATAAATAAGGTACATTGTGGTTAAAGCTTCCTTGTACAGAGATCTAGTAGTGGTGGTGTTGGGATGAGTACACGTGGTGGCTGGGGCCGGAGTTGTGCACGACCGCGTTGAAACTGCAAAGAATATTACGCTTATTATTTCTCGAAGCTACATAGAAGTATACATCGTAACACGCACTTTTCAGCTGTTAAACGTTGTATGTTACAATGATGAGGTTATCAAATGAGAAATTCAAACTAAACTACAATATCTGTAATACTTGGTCAAACCTAGAGACTCCAAAGAAAATAAACAATCAGATAATAATGTGACGATTCGATAGCAGTGTACTGAAACAGGTTTCAAGACTAGTTTGTTATCACGATACCTGTTCACCGATACCTGTTGTCAGTCGGCACATGGGTCGCACGAGTTCATTACTCACATGTTGCTGCTCTAGTGACCATTTACCGGTTTGACGAGCATGTGACTTAATACGATGTAATTTTACGACTCACATGCGTACGTAAATAAACAAAGCTCCATAAGCGAGTAAATATGGCAGGTCAGTACTGTTTTGCGCAATTCGGGGGAAAGTTGCACTCTCATCAACCAAGCAACCGTTTGTCATTACGTATGCACTTTGTGTTTAGATTCTATTTTACGTAATTTTTTACTATTTTCTTTCCTCTCATAGCTTAACTATTCAGATCGAGGAAGAATGAATGATTTTGATTGTTTTGTTCTACGTACCCGTTGTGGTCATCAGCTGTGTAGGACACCTTGCGGAAAGAGCCATCAGGCTGCAACAGAGAGTATTCTCCCTTCACGACATCGCCATCGCGGACCTCGTGCTGGGACTTGTGGTCGCCAGTGTGAGGGTCTTCCACAGAGTAGGAGTACTTGTATTTGGGGTGAGCCTGTAAACATATAAGCATATTAGTAACATATGTTGTGTGTCTGGAGCTTTAACATAGTTTTCTATTGAATGAGATGACATTATTTACGCACATAGTAGTCCTCATGTCCGTGGCTGTAGTGGCCTCCATGTACTTCAACGGGGGCAGCGATGACGTGGGCGACGGGAGCAGCGTGAACGACGGGAGCATGTACGACGGGCGCGGCGTGTACCAGGGGCGTAGCGTGGGCGTAAGTGGCGAGGGGAGCTGCCGCGTAATGCGAGTCGTGGTGCACCAGGTTGTGCTGGGAGGACACCGAGTATCCGCCAAGCCCGAGGTGACCAGCGCGGGCCACAGCCACCAAAGCGCTGACAGCTAAAATCTGCACATATAAAAATCACATTATTTTTCTCACTTCAATACACTTTTCACTTCACTTTTTAACACGGGAAGACGACTTACTTTAGCGAACATTTTTCTGATGGGATAGCTGTGCGTGACTAACATACATATGATAAGCTGCCGTGGGTTTTATAAGAATTGGCCCGGGTAGTCCGGTGGGGCGCCGAAAGCGATCAGCGCGCGTCCCCGCGGCCGCAAGGTCAGCGCGCTTTGTCTTCGACATTCTCGCGCTACATTATCAAAATGATTGTTACTTAATGAAAATACTCTGTGAACCACGATACTACACTCTGTTATACTAGGTCAATGCGCACAATGATACGTTTTTGTCGTTTGTGCGTTGAATTTTGTAACCAGTGTTATTTTTTATGATTTTGTGAACTTCTGTCTGCTCCACTGTATGTGATGATTGACTGAAATTCGTAGTGAATACGAGAGTTACTATATAGATTAGTTCGAGTACTGCGTAAGTGAACCTTCATAAGTCAAGTATATAATATACTAGTTTAGACACATCGAGCTTTTGTTCTGACAACGGTAATCACACATGTGAAGACATGACACTAATAAATTATATCATTACCGTTGCGTTATCTGTAACTCGGCCACGAACATACATAATATGGAGTCGCGGTAAGTTTCTCTACAAATAACGTAAACAAATAAAACAGTTCAAAGTTACATATAATTGACACGAGCACGCGAAAAATGGAAAATAAAACATAAATACTTATTAGGAAAGCTTGCGTGATGGTAGCAGTACAAATGTTATTGATTCAAAGGAAACGATGAATGAATACTTAGTTGAAAATCTAATCAGCTGTCATTGTTTGGCGATGAATGATTTCCGATGGGAGGTCCTTGGAAGGATATTGCTATAATTTAATTAGTACTTAGTCAGATACCTAAAACAAATACTACAAATTAAAACGCAGGTAAAATTCTGTCCAAGAATATTCAAGTACTTTTCTCGTTGTTAACCAATTCTAGAAACTTTAAAAATATTTGTATGCGTTGATTTGCGAAGTTTGTCTAATAAATGAGGAAGTGTGTGAAAAAGGACGATCACCGACGAGTGTCTACGTGTACTATGGAAGTGAAAACTTTAAGGAAAATAGGTCCTGATCCCTAGGACTTAAATATCAGATTTTCGATTTTCTGGCACACCTTCAATCAGGTATGATAATATATCATATGCATCTGGGTGAAAAAATCTTTTATATTGCTTTATTTTAATTACTAATCCAAGTAAAACGAATGGAAGATTGAGCTTTTGTTTTTGATTGAAGATTGATAAACCAACAAACAATTTGCGTATCGAAACCGCACGTTAAAGTTACGTAAACGCTAATGTTTTTGCTGGGGGAACTAAATACTGTTTACATTCCATACAAAGAACATACTCAGCAGTTATGAACGTATCTATATACATTGTTTACATCTAGATTATGAGATTTTGGTTTCTATTGTTTAGTAGATGTTCCCATCCCTTGAAACTTGCTAGAATGCTTGTGTCGAAGATTATTATTCAACCCGTTTATATGTAAATGCCCATTCAACCGACATGCAGCGTACACGCAGGTATACAGAATAATCATAAATATTTTTTTTTCTTATACATGTTTGTAATCAGTAAGTAAAAAAGTTATCTTTGAACTACGTTCCTTTGTACGGCCGAATTAATGATCTTGATCCAAAATCTCTGGATTAATCTAGGTTTTTGATAGAAATTCTATAAAATTAATATCAAAAAATAGATCACAATCCAAAGGTTTCGGTTTGTGCTTGGTTAATGGTTATTAATTTCGGCCGGTAGTCGATCGCCCTGATGCAATCGAGCAGTGTAGAGAGAAATGATCGCCCGACAATTGATTAATTATTTTCTATTAAGTTTAATGTAATTGTTTTTAGTACATTCTGATTGATATATTACCCTTGTCCTTAATTAAGTATATTGTATATTAACAGTAGCTGTATGTATATTACCTACTTGTTTTTGCTGTCATAAAGCAAATAAAAATACATTGATTTTCGAAGACACATGCGTATGCTCTATTTCAGTTGTTCATTGCATTAATTTTAAATTAATAATAATAATGTGTTAAACGATTTTCGGTGTATGCATATAGTGTATAGCGTATATTTTTAAATGCGCCACTCGTCTTATTATATATATATTATATTTTTTTGTTACACAAAGTTGTTGTAGGAAGCGGAAGGATTAAAAGTATAATGCGCTTTTTATTGACAATTTTAAAAACAATTAATGTAATTAGTATTCAGATTTCATATGTTAATAACTATCATCTTTAATTTCGACTATTATTTTTTGCTGAAAATATTTAGTTTAATGTAGATTTAAAATAAACAGTTGGTATGTAAATTTTAATGCCATTTTTTGTAAACGTGCTAATTTTAATTTTGGAGGGCAAAACATGCATTTAGTATACTACTTAGTCTCTTACACAAGCAAAATTACTGAGTGGGTAAATAGTGTTTATAGTTTACGGCCGGAATCACGCAAGCGCAACAACCTTGTTATAAAAATATTATCTGATAAAATATCGGCCTAGCGCTAAATAGTCTTTGTTACGTAAATACAAAATATTTTTTGAACTTGTCATTTTTTAATTGGATTATAACCATAAGAGGACTGTAATTAAGATAATTTGATAAATATGCATGATAAACCACTGCGGTGGTTGAGGTTTACCGTTTTACAAATAAGTAAAGTTTGGATTATACTCGTATTTTGCGGTTACGACAAGGAATAAACAATCAAAGCTGCGTAGTTACTTTTTCGGGGCAGAGCAGAGGTACTGGTTTCTAATAATAGAATATGTGTCAGTATATAAAATGTTTTAATAAATTAATTTACATTCGTATTTGGTTTCAGCAGGTCGTTTAAGATTTAGAAGGCACTTTTTTCATTAGTAGTGGTGGTACTCGGGTGCAGGGTGGATGGACGGAGCTGACGTGTGCACAACGGCGTTGAATCTGAAGTAAAGGGATTAAGATGTTGTTAATTAATGTGAGATTTTAAAATAGTTGAGGTTAATAATATATACAGGTGTGTGTATAGACATGCACTTATGAAATGCTAGACACTCTTTTGGTAGATAGTATTATAATACTCATTTAAAATTGATTAAGTTTAAGGAAACTAAGTCATATTAAACGTATTTCGAACCAGTAACGGGTTGAGCAGAGGACAGGAGTAGATTTAAGAAAAAATCACTGTGCTTATTTATATCTTATTTAACTATTGTGTAATTAAAATCTTACCCGTTGTGATCATCGGCGGTGTACTCGACCTTACGCACAGAGCCATCAGGCTGCACCAGGGAGTAGTATCCGTGCACGGCGTCACCGTCGCGGCTCTCGTGCTGGGACTTGTGGTCACCGGTGTGGGGGTCAGATACAGAGTACTCGAAGTCGTATTTTGGGTGAGCCTGGAATTTAACAATCAAAAGGTAATGTCATAGCAATGTTAAAATTATGGAAGACACAAATAAATTAAACAGATTGATGCAACTTACATGTTCATCATGGCCGTCGTCGTAATGGCCAGCGTAAGCCAGACCATCGGCGGCGTACGGAAGAGGTGCAGCGTAGGGGGCAGCGTAGACACCATCATAAGGGGCAGCGTAGGCGCCTTCGTATGGTGCGGCGTAACCGGCTACGTAGGGAGCAGCGTATGGCACGGCGTAAGGAGCGGCGTAATGACCACCATCGTGGCGTACGATGCTTTGGGAAGATACAGCGTGTCCGTGGCCACGAGCTGCTGCCAGCATCGCACCGAAAGCTACCAGCTGCAGATAAAATAAGTTAAATTGAAATATTTCTTATTTTACAACCGTTTTATAAGTTTTAATTAAACACATGCAATCACTATTATCAATTTAGACCACTTTTAAAATCGCACTCAATCACTTTATTTTATATTTTTATAACAACACTTTGTTTTAATTAACTGTGTTAATATTCACATGCCTAGATTATTGTTTCAGTTATTTGGTCAGGTATATATCGAACAATTTATTTCACTTACTTTGCTGAACATTTTGTTGTTGTTTAGATCAAAGTCAATCAATGATTGATGACAAATTCCGTTGACCGTGGCTTTTTATATGAGTTAAAACAGAATAAGAACAAGTGGGGCTGACCACACTGCATGCGGACCTCGCGACAATGACAATAGCTAAAGGTCGTTAAAAAAACCGATTATAGAATTGCAATATATGTCATGGTATCGATGCTTGTTGTGGCCATGTCATACTGCTAATGGTGCATTCTTTGTCTCACTGAACAAAAAACTACTACCCATGAACGAAATTGTCAAGTGCGAGGATTGATGAATGAAAGACTAGGTTTTGTGCTGAATTGTCGATCCTGTCATGTTGTGACAAGCTTTTAATTATTTTTGTCATTCGGTGTATTTGTGTGTGGCTCTTCTAGTACAGATGTGGAATCTTTATTTAAATTACTTTAGCCGCTCTAGAAATGCTTCCACAATCTTCTACTAAAAGTATTACTATGCAGAACGATTGCTTATACGATGATCCGTCGAACTTTTTGAAAAAAGAAAGAATAAATTAAAATAAAGAAAAGATATTATTTGTGTTCGTTTTTAAAATGAATTTGAATAACTTAGGTATCTGTATTGGTTAATGACATTGAGGGATGTGATATGATCAGACCAATTAACATAAGCATCAACAGTGTTATAGAAATGGAACGAATTAATTAGCATACCTCTAGTTAGGCATCTTTCTATCGAAACTAATTAGCTAATAAAAGAAAAAAATGAAGAATTTTTGTCACCTCCTGCAGTCAGATGCGAGCAAGGCCGTAACAACCGCGAAGTGCTACGTGATGTCAGTTTGAATGGGTGAATAAAAAAAGAAACGATTATAGTGCTCAGTGCAATGTTCACAAAAAATCTGTCGGTATTTATATTATAATACGGTTACGTCAAGTTCGGTAGTTTCAACAATAGGGCATATGCCTAATTTTTATTTTAATGTCCGTCTGGTAGATTAATTTAAATCATTAGACACGTATTTTTTGTTTTCTTACAGAAACGAAGACTTTCGACGATATATTTTTTATTTATTTATTTATTTACACACATAACATACAAATATCCTTACAGGCTAGACCCAATGCGATATTGCAGCAAATATTAAAATAACAATAATAAACAAAATACAAACAAGAAATATCCATATACTCTATAGAAATATAATACGATATTAATTTGATATATCGCGTGACGTCACTTCTATGTACATTTTTTACGTAGAAATGACGTTTCAGCCCCCACTCCTAAACTTTGATTAGTTTTATCTAAGTATTGTTTTATTATACGACAAAATAAAAAAATACGTGTATAATATTTTTTCATTACCTAACTTACGGACTAATTAGATTTTTAATTTTCATATCCTGTCATCATCTCAATTGACGTAGATTTATGTTTGTGTAGGGTTTATGCATCGTTGTTTGAATGGTGGCCGGTGTAATTGTTGTCATCGATATGTCAGGATTCTCGTTGATTCAATGTTTTATTATATTTTTGGGACATAAACAATAAATGTAATAATGCATTTGTGTTAATGTCATCCATATCAGTTCTAAATAATAGCGTATAAAATGTTTTTATTGTAAAATAACCTTATTTGACCAGGAAAACTCATAGTTTTTCATCCATTAGTGTTTCATCCACAAAACGATTTGCCTGTCGTTATCGTTTTTAGCGATAAACCCATTGTATATTGTATTACTAATAGTGTACATTGTAGGTACACTAAAGCTTACGTAGATGATAATGTGTCATAATATTAATTGAATACCTTTGTAGATATCTTAAATTGTTACGCACAATACGATTATGTTCTACAAGGAAATAAAGGCAGCATGCCTACGATTCCTGCATTCAAAATCCTTACGTAATTTAAAACGTACCATTGTAATAAAACTCAAATGTCATACTATGACATACGAGCGAAACTATGAACAATTTAGATTTATATTTATGACAGATACTACAATTATTTAGTACCTTATAGTTTCTGTACTTGAAAGGAAAATATCTATAGAATAATATAATGTAATAAAGTTATTATTGAGAATAAATTGTTAGACAATTTGATTTGGACATTATCAGCTAGCGACTCAGATTACATTAAGATAGGATTTGCATTTCTGAATTGTGCTCTATCATGAAATATAGTCATTTTATTTACTTATTAATTTGATGTTATTATAAACTTGATACACTAATTTATTTAAGTTTTTGACAGTGGTGCGATGGTTAAACCTCAGGTTTTAATTTTTTTATGGCGTAACAAGTGCGTTACCGGCCTTTTGGAGATTAGGAATCTGAGGATTATGGAGGAAGATTATTAAGGGGGTGGGGGCTAATTGGGCCTCCGGTAACCTCACTCACACGACGACACACAACGCATGCGTTGTTTCACGTTGGTTTTCTGTGAGGCCATGGTATCACTCCGGTCGTTCCTCATTCGTGCAAAAGCATGGCTTTCCCACACTTAGATATTTAAAATACAAAACTATCGTAGGTAAATAAGTTCAATAATGCGACAGAGAAAGAACAAAATAATGTGGTCGTCAATTACAAATTTTAAATTCTAAAACTTATTTTGACTACAAAATCAGTCATGGCCAGTATCATAACAAAAATACTTTTAATTTTAGTTTCAGTACAGTTTTATGTTTTGTACTTTAGTAAATGCATTGTTACAGAACATAAACGCACAGTCCAAGGCATACTGTCACTATTTTATAACCTTCGTTACCTACTGTGTTTATATTATTTGGTCGAGTCAAGCGCAGTTTAGGCAACATTATAATATATCATTTTAGGCGGAATTTATGGTGTGACCGTAATATTTATTGCTTTAATACAACGATACCGATTTATTTAGAGCCACCGGCCCACAGAACAATTTGTCAAGTCAACTATTTAGGTAATGATACTAATGATGGTAGTTTAGTAAGATTTTTGGAGATAATTCGTGGTTTCGTCACATAATTTGTGTTACGTTCAGCTTCTATGAATAAAGTAACAGCTGAGCTTTTTAACATATCATTATTTAGTCTTGATTGTTATGAAGTACCTCTGGTAATCAAAATATTATATGCCCTTTATTGATTAAGTAGCAGTTCAGCACAATAATGTATAGGCACATAGTTATTGAAAAATAAGTAACCAAAGTGTAAGTTCAAAATAATTTTATTATGACACAAGAAAATAAATAAGACAACATAATTATATCACTTAATTATGACTTAGTAATAATAGTAAGCGTGTCCATAAATGGGCTCAGGGTATACGGAAGGGGCGGAGTTGTGTACCACAGCGTTGAACCTGAAAATTATGCAATAAGTCGTGTATTAATGTATTGCTGTAAGATTTAAAGTTTGATGAACTGTTCTATGTAAAAAAATGACTTGCCCATTGTGGTCATCAGCGGTGTATTCAACCTTGCGCACGGAACCATCAGGCTGCACCAGGGAGTAGTATCCATGCACGGCGTCACCGTCGCGGCTCTCGTGCTGGGACTTGTGGTCACCGGTGTGGGGGTCAGATACAGAGTACTCAAACTCATATTTTGGGTGAGCCTGGGAATAACAATTTAATATATAACAAATGCCTACTAAACATAATAAGCTTCAGTTGAAATTGATGGTTACTAACGTAAGTATCATGGCCGTCATAATCTCCCTCCGGATAGGCGTAGTCAGCTACGGATGCGGCGTAGTACGCCAGGGGGGCGGCGTAATGAAGGGGTAGCTCATGAGCTACATCATGGCGTACGATGCTCTGGGAGGACACGGCGTGACCGTGACCGTAGTAAGCGTTGGCTGTGGCCAACAGAACGCCAAAAGCTACGATCTGAAAAGCGCAAGAATGTACTTTAAAAAATTGATTTTAAAGACGTCTTTTGCTGATTCTTTTTCACAATTATCTCGTAAACCAGTTTTTTATAACGAATATATTATTTTCTTAATACTCACTTTGCTGAACATTTTTAATTGTATTGTTTATTGCAATCAAATGTTGATTGATGTCAATTGATTAGAGAATTGGTTTTATATCAGATTACTTTAGTTCTTTTCGAGTGCAGTGGGGAGGAGATATGCGTGTGCACTTGACTTATAACTTTGACATCTATCAAGGCGTTTAATTTTATAACAGTTGTGTACATGTGTCAAATTGTTTAATTAAGGGTAACTGCATATTGGAATGTATAATATATTAGTCGTTTAACAGACGTTACGTGTTACGGGCAATAATTACTAAAAAAAGAATTGTTTTAATATTTTTGTTATCAACGGTTTGTTGCTTTTATTGAAATAATAAATCATTATAAAACTTTAATGTTTAGGAATGTTTATGTCAAGTTTACATTTACAAAGTTGAGCCTGAAATTGTAAATTACTTTCATTAATTTCAGAATATTAATCAGAATTAAATTTAATAAAACATTTCCACTGAGACTGTCACATTGATCACCGATGGTAGAATTTAAAATTATCAGTAATGAAAAGTTTAATTATTTTATTTATTTCTATTTTTTAGAGTACTGAAGCAGGAATTGTATTGTATTTACGTGTACGTATTTATGGGCTAGTCCATTATTACATCGGATTTTCAGCGACTGGCGAAAAGAAGGTGCTGCATTTTCATGGGTGTACTTTTGTTGCCTTTTTTGTACGGAGCATATTCACCTTTTATTATTTATTAATTAGCATGCATATATACAGACATCGGACATATATACACTGGGTCGATGAAATATCAATTGGTACAGGGTAGCAAAATTAAAATCGTTATTATTATTATTTTTTTAAAAACATTGTCCCACACTAGGTTTTTCTCCTGTGTCGTGGGTGCGTTAACAAACATACAAGTTCACATACACATGCCACCCAGACCCGGAACAACAATCTTTGGAACACACAAAGAGTTGTTCCGTGCGGGAATCGAACCCGCCACACGTTGCGCGGCAGCCAGTTGTACACCCACAGCGCCAATAGTGCAGAAATGTTGAAATTGGAAAAATGTTGTATCTTACTTATAACATCTTGAATACGAAAGATTGTGAGTTTGTGTGTGTGTGTCTTTCAATCACGTCAAAACGGCTGAAACTATGATCTGGAATAACACATAGGCTACTTACTATTCCACGGGAACGTGCGAAGCCGCTGACAGTAGGTAGTTGAAAGAAAAGGCAAGACAGAGAAAAAGAGCAATGTTTAAAAATTAAAGTGATAACCTACGTATATAACAATTAATTACAAAACGGGGTCTTCGCTTTCACATCACATTAACAGCCTATCTTCGCTATACGTAAGGTAAAACTATTATTCAATTTTAGTTGAAAATAAAATCGTTAGGTAATGTTTGTATTCTTTTGACGCGAAGAAAGAAGAAATATTAATAGAATAAATATAAAGTCGGGATGTAAGGGTATATTAACACCTAAGTACCCCAGTCAAGTAGTAATCCTAGTATGGAATTATCTAATCGTGTCGTCTTTTTTATATTTGATAGGCCGACGTTCGACCACTATCTCGCCTGGTGGTAAGCGATAATGAGGTCTACGATGGAGCACGTCGAATCATAAGCAACCTATTCACTCGGGCCTTGAAGACACCCAGGTTATAAATAGGTTCAGGAAACACAGACTCCCACTTCTTACCAGCACGCACAGGAAGCGTGATGTGAAGCACTTCGTGCGTGTGGGAACATCTATCATAAATCGGTGACGCTTCGCCGATTGTCTTATGGTACGATGATGTAAAGGGCTAGGGGGAATCAATTTGTGCAATTTCCCCACACACTCTCCGAAATGCAAGCAGTTGAAAACTGAATGTCTTGGACCGTTACGCCTGTGTTCGAGGCTTTGTATCCGGGCCTCTACAAGTGCTGATTGGCGAAATAGAACCAACGACGTGATGTGTAGCAGTTGTCTAGCTGGTTAGCCATTGCACTAACCACGAAGCAACTTAATATGAAATTTTAGCAAGTAAATAAATTGTTGGTAAAGTCCTGATTAATTAGATACTAGTAAAGACATCTTTGAGAGTAAAACTTCACCATATCTCTATATTCTGGTCTGGTAATGTGACTTAGGAGTAAGGAAGATGACACAATAATTACCAATTATGGCCATAGGTTAGCTACTTTGAAATAACAACACAAGTGTTTGTGGATTATCACAGTTTATCTTTTAATATCATTCATTGTAACTTGGTTTGTACATAATAATAAATAGGCACAGCTCAATTATTAACTATTGTTGATGACTTAGTAATGATGGTAAGCGTGTCCATGGACGGGAGCGGGGTGTACAGAGGGAGCGGAGTTGTGCACCACAGCGTTGAAACTGAAAATAGAAAAATACAATTATTTTTTGAAGTAAACAATCAAGTATTTTTTTTTATTAATATGAATAGTTATAGACAGCTTACCCGTTGTGGGCATCAGCGGTGTACTCAACCTTGCGGATGGAGCCGTCAGGTTGAGCCAGGGAGTAGTATCCGTGCACGGCGTCACCGTCGCGGCTCTCGTGCTGAGACTTGTGGTCACCGGTGTGAGGGTCAGCCACGGAATAAGCGAAGTCGTATTTAGGGTGAGCCTGGTATCATAAAAGAAAACATAATTACTATCAATACTTACATAATGTATGTGGCAAAATCCATTAATTTCCGAAAAGGTAGACCAGACCTGATACTTTTTCAGCACCAAAAATTATCAAATCACTTACGTATGAGTCATGGCCGTCGTAGTGGGCTACGGGGGCGGCATAGTGAGCTACGGGAGCGGCGTAGTGAGTCACAGGGGCGGCGTAGTGGGCGACGGGAGCAGCGTATTGCGCTACGGGAGCTGCGTAGTGCAGGGGTTCATCATGACGGATGATGCTTTGGGAGGACACAGCGTGACCATGACCCAGGTAGCCAGCGTTGGCAGCGGCCAACAGCGCGCTCAAAGCTACGATCTGAAAAAAAAAACACAATTCATTGTAACTTTGTATTTACACTTCATAACAAAATTAATAACACTGAAAAATCTTTGAATACTCACTTTGCTAAACATTTTGTTGAATAATTGTAAGCGGTCAAACTGTGTTTGATATGTATCTAATTGTAGTATGGTTTTATATATGAAATACAAAGGTTTGTACGCTGAATGGGTGGGGCGGAGAAATGTACGTGCACTTGACTTTGTATGCTTTGACAAGCGTCAAGGTCACAAATACAATAAACGCGTGCTTACAAGAAAGAATTTGTGCCTATTTTTCAACTCATCTATCTATACATATAATAAAATTGTAGAAAAGTGCTGTCTGTACATTGAAAATAAAAATAAAAAAAATAGCAGGGGCTATTGTTATGTCGATGTCGAACCCAAAAATGTAACTAACTTTTTTTTTGTCTGTTTGTCTGTTTGTCTGTTCACGCTAATCTCAGAAACGGCTTATCCGAGTTGGATGCGGTTTTCACGAATATATTGTGGTATGCTTCAGTTATGCTTTAGTGTTTGTTTCATGTCAATCGGTTCATAAATAAAAAAGTTACGTCAAATTAAAGAATCACGTCGAACACTATCTATCTATCTATACATATAATAAAATTGTAGAAAAGTGCTGTCTGTACATTGAAAATAAAAATAAAAAAAATAGCAGGGGCTATTGTTATGTCGATGTCGAACCCAAAAATGTAACTAACTTTTTTTTTGTTTGTTTGTCTGTTTGTCTGTTCACGCTAATCTCAGAAATGGCTTATAAATATATATATATTTAACAGGGTGCGGAAAAGGTGATAGTGGTTTTATTCCTCAGATTCCTCTCATTCCAAAAAATTTTCCGTTTAATTTTAAACGAATTCAGTTTCCAGTGAGCCTATGTTTCGCCATGACAATTAATAAAGCTCAAGGTCAGACTCTAAAAGTTGTGGGTATAGATCTAAGTATCAGCTGTTTTTCGCACGGTCAATTGTATGTGGCTCTGTCCCGTGTTAGCAATCCCAGCAGCCTGTATGCTTTCACCCCCGATGGCCATACGTCTAATATTGTATATAGAGAAGCATTACAGTAAAGTAGGTTTTTTAGCTACCTAAAATGACTGTGATTATGATCCAAATCTAAAATAAAAATAAGTATATATTTAAAACACTATTCTACGCGAACGAAGTCGCGGGCACAGCTAGTAGTACCTATAATAGTCTTTACCTTTTTCTTTTAGCCAGGATGAAAAATGAGGAGGTTTTGGTGAAACTGCCATACTCATATTACCTAATTAATTATACCACGTTTTTCATACATACATATGAAATCAGGCGTAATGTTATGTACATTACGCCTGATTTCATAGGGGTATGCAGAGACTATTGGTCGCCAATTGCTTACTGCTTGCGTTTTTTTTTATTTGTGTATTTTTCTTTTTTTAGCATTAGGCCTGCGGTGTCCGAGGTTTGTGAGTCGTCACACGTCGAAAAAACTCACAGAGTGTTGCTTGTATATAATAAATTAAATAAATATTTGTCAGTTTCGTTCTTTAAGTTTTTGAATGGAGGGTAGAAATATACATCATTTAGCGCTGCAACATGTGCATGCACCAGAGGATTGTATCTTTGAAAATGATCTGTGTAATGTATAATCTAGGATTTAACTCTAACTGATTTTGTTATCATCTTGGTACAATAACTATTGTGAGATAAATTAAATTAATTCAGAATAAGAAATTACTAATGTAAAATGACTAAGAATAGCGTTACTAGTTTTAATTTGCAATGGGGCTCTTGGAACGTCGGATGCGGAACAATGTGTTATTACAACTTTTTTGTTTTTTGAACCGTTTTGTTCAATTGATGTTGTGATTGTTACAGGAAACAAGTACCATACCATCAAATTAGGAAAATTACTACTAAAAAGTTCAAAATTAATACCGGTTTTGTAGACACAATTATAGAACAATAGGTTGCGGTCACCGGTGACCGCTTGGTGTTTGACAGTTTAATTAGTTAGTTTTTAAGTTTTATAGTTTAAGTTGTAAAAATTATGTCATCTAAGTAAATATTTGGATATTACCATTATTTACAATAAATTATAATAATCTAAAGCATCATCGGATGTGATCGGCGACGGCGACCTCTCGCGTCCGGCTCTGGTACAGACTATGGTACGGAACGAGAGGCCGTCTTCTCGTTCTGCGAAGCAGTTATGCTAGCTAAGGAGGAGGCGGGGCGCGTGAGCGAATGAACGAACGAAAAAATAATAATAATAAAAAGGAAAATGATAATAAATAAATAAAATTGTGTAAATAAGGAGTTGGTAGATTGGTATAATATGTAGAATATAAACGAGAATCAATTGAAGCAATTGTGGGAAAACTTTAAAAACTTTAATAATATGTTAAGTACAATCTTTGAATAATATAGTGCTTTTATTATTTAAAATAAATTGCAGCGCCCTTACAGGGTCATGTTGATACTGCTGAACCAAATATTATGTATAATGTATAACACCTTGGTACCCACGCATGAAGCAATAAAGACTTTAAATTTGAATTTGAACTTGAACCTCCTCACGCCCCAGCCGTCGCGAGAGACACTCCCTCTTGCTCTGAACCAGGTGGGAGAAGTCATTGGATGACTTTCCCCCCTCAAAAAAAGGGCAGGGCATATGCAGAATAGATTTTTATATCAATATTTTATTATTGTATAGATAATAGTTTTGTACTTGCAATTAATAATATTTGTCTTTTGTAAAATGTATGTTTTAGGTTTGGAAATGTTTGTAGTAAAATTCAAAGAAAGCGAGGGTTATAATTCTGTTTAAAAGTTTTGACCAAGCCAAGGTAATTAGTGTATATCTTAATTTATTTTTATGATAGAAGAAGATATATGCATCTACAGTTGTAGTACAGCTTCTTTCATGATGATATGAACTACATTTTTGGTTTGTATGAGTACCTAAAATATTATTTCAAAGTTCTTCTCAAGCTGTCTACTGCATTTGTAATCATTAAACCAGACAATAATAAACGTGGACATGCTGGGCACGTTGTGGGCTTTTACTTTGATTCTCAAAACTTTCAGTTCGTCGTTAAGTTAGAAGTAAGATAAAAATTTCGATTTTTATCTTACTTTGACTCTGTTTTTAAATCCACCAAAAGCAATGTTTTTATGAAAGTCATGTTATTGTTAAGGCTCGGGTATAATAGGTGATGTAGAATTATTTGAAACAAAAAGACAAAATTTGTATGTATAAACTATATTTCTTCAATCATTCATTCTCATTTCATTTTCACATCGAAACTGAAATAATAAATAGGCATAACACAATCAGTCTTTGATGATCATTCAGTAATGATGGTAGTCGTGTCCATGTCCGTGGTCGTGGATGATGGGAGCGGTGTTGTGGACTACAGCGTTGAATCTGAAAATATAAGAAAAAGTAATTATTCAATAGACGAACATTTATTAAACAAATAATTTTACTATAGTATATGGGTATGGACAACTTACCCATTGTGGGCATCAGCGGTGTACTCAACCTTGCGCACGGAACCATCCGGCTGCACGAGGGTGTAGTATCCGTGCACGGCGTCACCGTCGCGGCTCTCGTGCTGAGACTTGTGGTCGCCAGTGTGGGGGTCAGCCACGGAGTAAGAGAAATCGTATTTGGGGTGAGCCTGATATTAAAAACCAAAATGTTAAATAATTGCTGGTATCACGGAATACAAAAAACCAGGGTGGTATTGTAATTTTAATGAGTCGTTAATTATTTAAGTGGCTTACATGTACGTCATGGCTGTCATAGTGCGCGTGATGTTCTATAGGAGCAGCATAATGATGGGGTTCATCGTGACGGATGACACTTTGGGAGGACACGGCATGCCCGTGGCCCAGGTAGCCAGCGCTGGCCGCGACCAACAGTGCGCTCAAAGCAACGATCTGTAAAATCCATAACGATTAGCCAATAACTTTGATTTAAATTCGTATAAGAATGAATAAATATTTTAATTTTCCGTAACTAAAACCCTTTTAATGTCTACTCACTTTACAGAACATTTTACTAGTAGAATTTGTAACGGTTAAACGTTATTTGATATTAACGTAAGTGGGGTTCGGTTTTATATATGAAATGCAGAGCCTATTGCGTCTACTGGGTGGGGCGGAGAAATGTGTTCACTTGACTGTGTATACTTTGACACATAACGAGGTCATAGTTACAATATCAACATTTTATATAACGTTAATATTTTTTTGCAGTATGGTGCATATTATATTATTTTTTACATGTGCCAGGTCCAAATTTTATAAATGAGTAATACCTACTTATGAAAACGTTATACAGTATGATTGTATAAATTAAGCTGCGAATTACAACTAAATGTGAAAACTTTATACATACAGTAATCTAATTAAGTCTTGCAGGCTACAGCAGATAAAAAAAAAAATAGTATGTAATAAAAAATTACTCTTAGTGGCTTGTGTTGTAATTGGAAAAATCCTCAAACACCATAGTTTTGCAGGTTATTTTATAAATACATTATCAACTCACTGACACTTTGATTACATTCACTGGAACTAGAATCTCAAGTTCCTCTTTCACACTCATAACTATTAAATCGGTGAGGCAGTCGTGTTCAGGTACTTTTATATTTGAAAATTTATCTTAGCTCTACCTTGGGTTACGTCTATTTTTTACATTACTTCAAAAAGTTTCTGTTTGATGTAATTCTCTTGAAACCGTTCTGCCAAAATGCGTTAAGGATGTTACTTTTAACAACATTTTTTACGAATTCTAGTTAGTGTCGTGGTTGTCCGGGGTTTTAAGACGCCTGCTTCTCATGCACGAGGGTGCGGGTTCAAAACCCATCAACGGCAAGTGCCAATGTGACTTTTCTGAGTTATATGTACTTTTAAAGATTATTTAGATACCACTGAAAAACGGCTTATAATTTCTAATTATAAGTTAATTGTAATCGCCAACACTGCATTGAGAAAGCGGTGTGATTAATGCTCAAACCTTCTCATTTTTTATGGCATAAGCCGGTAAACGAGCAGACGGATCACCTGATGGTAAGCAATTGGCGTCGCCCATAGACACCTGGAACACCAGAGGCGTTACAAGGGCGTAACCGGTCTTTTGGGGATTAGGAGTTTGAGGATCGTTGGGGATTCAGGAATTGGTGAGATTGGGGAAGGGGAGGGTAATTGAGCCTCCGATAACCTCACTCACACGACGAAACACAATGCAAGCGTTGCTTCACGTCAGTTTTCTGTGAGGTCGTGGTATCACTCCGGTCGAGCCGGCCCATTCGTGCCGAAGCATGGCTCTCCCACTCTTAAAAGCCTTTGGTCCGTAGTGGCCACTTATAGGCTGTTGATGTTGTTGTTGTAGTTACGTTCTAGAATTTGTTCATAACGATAAGTATATCAACCCCTTACAGATTTAGGTTAATTAAAAAATATAGTAGTAAGTGTCAATTCTTAAGCAACGTTTTTCATCGATGCGAATCCAATTAGTGGGTACGTTGTTTTAATAATGAAGTAATTACAATTGCAAATAACGCGTACATTATTTTAGATCGCATATTAAAACCATAACTATTAATCTAAATACCTATATCAATACATAGTATAAAACAAAATCGCTTTCGCTGTATGTCCGTATGTATGCTTAGATCTTTAAAACTACGCAACGGATTTTGATGCGTTTTTTTTTAATAGATAGAGTGATTCTTAAGGAATGTTTGTATGTATAATACATGCATATTGCACCCGTGCGAAGCCGGGGCGGGTCACTAGTAAATAATATAAAAAATATTAGGACTGGTAAAAAGTTTCGAACGGTATTTTTTTTTTAATTATCTTAGTAATAAAGTCTTATGGGAACTGTTTTCATGTCAATATTTATATAGTCTTAAAATAATGAAAGTATTGGTAGAGGGTTAGACGTCAGATAATATAAATTTTCATGTTATGGTATGTATTGGAATTTGGAAGATTAGTGTGTTTTTTTTTAATTCTGATGTATTCTTGTGTAGGACATATTCTACAAGAGTCGAACAGTATCGATTACCATTTTTATTTTTAGTTATACGTAGCACAGGCTGATGATGACTAGGTATGCTATGAAAAAAATCACAGACTATTAATACTTAGTATTAGAAGTATGACACGGATTCGATTCCCGTACGGGATAATTTATTGCCTGCTCCAAATATTTTTATTTTGGTTTTGGTTTTGATTTGTGTTAATAAACTATTTCATTTAGAAGAAGAAGAAAAAGAAGATTAGAGAAAAACCAATATAATCAATTGTTGATATGAAATGCATAAATAAATTTATACTAGGTACTCTTTTATTTTTCCAATTTTTAGTAGAATCCTCATTTCAAAGAATGTCGTTTCGTTTTTCTGATTCAAGTTAATTGTTTCAACACTGATGTATATATGAAAATATACATAATAATATAGCCTACAATATATTTATTTATGAAGTGATAAACAGGTATCTTAATTTTTTTCAGTTTTACGCTCAGATTTGTAAATAAAAATGAAAAGGATAGAAAAATAAAGAAATATGATTTTAGCAGAAAAATAATGTATTCAGTAATCGCATATCACAGTCAAAATGTACAAAATAATAAATAGGCATAACACAATCAGTCATTGATGATCATTCAGTAATGATGGTAGTCGTGGCCATGTCCGTGGTCGTGGACGATGGGAGCGGTGTTGTGGACTACAGCGTTGAAACTGGAAATAAAAATAAAATAGTCATTAATATACTGACTTATGACTAGATCTAGATATTTACATTTTCTTTGCGTTGATAGACAACATAACTAACCCATGGTGGTCATCAGCGGTGTATTCAACCTTGCGCACGGAACCATCAGGCTGCACGAGGGTGTAGTATCCGTGCACGGCATCACCGTCGCGGCTCTCGTGCTGGGCCTTGTGGTCACCGGTGTGGGGGTCAGCCACGGAGTACTCGAAGTCGTATTTGGGGTGAGCCTGCAACATTAATTTGCTTATTGCATTATTCCATTTCACATTTTTCGTATACAATTAATAAAAATGAGAATTCAGTTTACTTACGTATGTGTCATGACCATCGTAGTGTTCTACGGGAGCGGCGTAGTGAGCTACAGGCGCGGCGTAGTGGGCGACGGGGGCGGCGTAGTGAGCCACGGGAGCGGCGTAGTGTGCGGGTTCATCATGATGGACAATGCTTTGGGAGGACACAGCGTGGCCATGGCCCAAGTGGCCAGCGTTGGCAGCGGCCAACAGCGCGCTCAAAGCTACGATCTGAAAGTATAACGGTATAAAATTAGTTTTATCAATGAACATATTTTTATTCTACCCGTATTAGAAAAACGTTTCTATTTATATTAAAAAGTAAAATGTTTAATTACTTTGCTGAACATGTTTGTTGTAAAGTTCTCAACGGTCAAGTGTTGATTGATGCTAATAGACGTGTTGAATGGTGGTTTTATATGCTAATAGCTTTGCAACTTACGCTCTCTTGGTGGGGCGGAGAAATGCGTTCGCGTTCTTGACTTTGAATTGTTTAAATGCTTTAATATGTATCAAGGTCGCAGTTTTATTACGTAAACGTCGATAAAATAATATTTGATTCAACAAGTCAGTTAACAGTTTACTGACATATTTTTGATAGTACATTTACAATCAAGTGATTAAAATGATATCATCAATAATTTGTCTATATTGTAGATTTATAAAAAGTATTTAATTAGATAGGGATTGTAAAAAGCAACTTTTATAATATAAAGAAGTCCACGGGGCAGGGTTTCGGGTACTTTTGAACAATTAGTCTCTTTCTTCCCTTACCAGTAAAAACCGTAATCATATAACCAATCTTTTTATTTTGTCATTAAATCTTCAAACTCCAATAAGTTTTGAAGAATTTCGAGTACCTATATCAAAATTTGGCTATGTTTTTCAGCAACCGAATTTTGTAGGAGAGTAAAACTAAACATTTTAGATCTATTACAGATTACATTATGTATGTTAGTCCATTCTAATATAATAAACGCAAATATGTAATTCTATTACAGTGGAATGTTTTTTTTTCTGTTGGAATAGAAATTATATCTAATGGCTATTTTAAAATGTAGAACTAGCTGTTGCCTGCGAATTCGTTTGTGTGGAATTATGATTCAAAGCCCGTAGATGATAGCGTGATAATACCTCTAATATGTAGCCTATATATTGACCCGACTTGTTAGCAATATTCATGCAAATTTTAAGTAAAACCATGCAGTACTTTTGGAGATCATCCCTCACACACATACAGACAAAAATTCTAAATTTTTGGCTTCGGGATTGATACACATACGATCAAGTATTTTTTTTTTAAATAGTCAATGTACAGTTTAGAATTTTATTATACAAGGTGTTGTTTTAAAGCAGCGTCATTTTCTAGGAGATAACTCGGCTATCGATTCTGAGTCCGAATCAATAAAAAAAATTGTACGTAAATATTTTTAATTTTTCTGTAAATTACGGAAATTCGTAAGTGAGAACGCCGCTGTCTTGTAACTAGTTGTATAACGCGGCTTAACACACACAAACTCAAATACGCAATTGATATTATTCCTAATTCCATAAACCTCCAATAAGAACCATTGCTGTCGCTTATTCAGAAACACTGTCGAACTCAAACGATTTATTATAGCCGTATTTTTAACTACTGGCCCGAAACTTTTACTTACATTGAACCTTTATGCCTTCTGTGACATGCCCCCGAGAAATGACAAGGTTTCAAAACTACACCTTATATGTAAATGTCTGTGTAGAAGATAGATTGTAGATCACGCTTCAAGTATTCTTTTTAAATAATATTTAATGTAGGTACAGTTTAGACTTTTCTACGATTTTAATATCTGCATATATAATTCACTGATAATAGTGGGCGTAACTTTATGTTTAAATCAATATTCTAATAAACGTTACTTAAAGCCATAGTGTTTCGCTCTCCGCTGCGTACATACTTTTAATAGAGCGTGACTTGGGATAGATTAATATCGACTATGAAGTTGCTTTAAGCGATAATTGCTAATTTTTAATTAGTTCTATATATCGCCGTTTTGTTAAGAAACAAGCGTAACATAACTTCCAAGTGTCTAATTATTATTAGAAGTTAATAAAACTCAACAATAACTTTTCATGATTTTAAAAAATAATCTTACAATCGTATCCTTCTCGGTTTCAGAATGCATTTTCCTATTACCGTTACATTTTACTCAGTAAATATTTTTAAATTAGTTTTTGGTGTTCATATAGGGTTTATCCAATTACTTTTTCTAGTAATAATGTTTTACCAAGATCAGTGCGTCCTGGGTCCATAACATAACCTAACCCATATACCTAAAATCATGATAAATTAAAAGGTATTCTAACATAAATTAAAACATAAGTGTGGGGCAACGTTAAAAAAAAAAAATGTTACAAATTTTAATTAATCTCAGCGACTGAATATTGAAATTTGAGTTACCCTGACTGACACAAATAGATAATATGTAGGCACATACATACATACATTGAATGTATTCATAGCTGGTAAATACACCGACAACTTAAGTGGTTGTTTGTGTCGAGTAGCAGAAAACAAACTAAGTAAGAGATAACTTGTATTTTGTCTTAATTGTACGATGAGATAATTAAATTCAATGTCAAATGTCAAAGTTAATTACATGCTATGAGGAATATTATTATAATGAGAAGGTATAATTTTCTAATATAATTTAAGCAGATGATCATTTCTTGTAGATTTTTTGTTATTCGTTGTTTAGTCTCTTGGGTATATGACGCACAATAGAAAAGACATTCTGTCTTGCATAGTTCTGAGTTCCGGCATTCCACGTGTTAAATCTAAGAATCTATGGAGCGGATTTATTTTTAAGATAATTTTAGAACTCTCTGTTCCTTAATAATTGGGTTCAAAAATGTGAGTACGGTACTTAAAATAGTAATTGAAAATGTAACAGTATTTTTTTTTCATGTCATTTAATATATACAAATCGAATTACAAACAATAAATAAATTATGGATAGTATTCATTTAGTAATGATGGTAAGCGTGTCCGTAAACGGGAGCGGGGTGTACGGAGGGGGCGGAGTTGTGCACCACAGCGTTAAAACTGAAATAAAGAAATATTTAATTAATTTATGAAATTATAAAGGTCGTAATATTTTTTCCATTAATGTAAGTGTTTTTAGCGAACTTACCCATTGTGGGCATCAGCGGTGTACTCAACCTTGCGGATGGAACCATCAGGTTGAGCGAGGGAGTAGTATCCGTGCACGGCGTCACCGTCGCGGCTCTCGTGCTGGGACTTGTGGTCGCCAGTATGGGGGTCAGCCACGGAGTAAGAGAAATCGTATTTGGGGTGTGTCTGAAAGAGTTATGAGATTTATATTAGTTTTGATTGTTTGAAATTAATATCTTAAACTGTAAACAGTAAGATGAATACTTACGTAAGTATCGTGGCCGTCGTAGTGAGCAAGTGGGGCAGCGTAATGAGCTACGGGTGCGGCGTAGTGAGCTACGGGAGCGGCGTAGTGGGCGAAGGGAGCGGCGTAGTGGGCGACGGGAGCAGCGTAGTGCACGGGTTCATCGTGACGAATGATACTTTGAGAGGACACAGCGTGACCATGACCCAAGTATCCAGCGTTGGCAGCGGCCAACAGCGCGCTCAAAGTTACGATCTGAAAGGAAAAATACTTTTAATAGTTTTTGTCTCAGGATTAATTACTTTATAATAATTATAATGTTTACACGTACTTTACTGAACATTTTGTTGTATTGTTTGTTAGTATCAAGTGTTGATTGATAATGTCAATAGATCTAGCGTATGGTTTTATAGAACGCGAACTGAATATGCGTTGTTAAGGTGGGGCGGAGATATGCGCACGCACCTTGACTGTATTACTGTGACGTGTTGCTATGTGTAGGTTACAGTTTCAATTGTTACATGCAACCGGGGTGTTGTGTATGAGGTGTCCTTGTTTGTTCAAAGTTTTATTGAGAAACATCATTTAAAAAAATACATGTAAATAGCATAGATATTAATAATACTAATTACGTGTATGTCTTAAAATTATAACCAATAAATAAATAAATTAATTAAATAAAATAAAAAAGCCTTTTTATTTCTGGCCCAGTAGGTACTTAACCAAGCTTACAATTGACCTATCATGTATATATATATATATATATATATATATATATATATATATTAACTGTTGTTTATACATTTATATCTAATTCGAAACATAATAGTTTAAACTCTTATTTATATTTATACTTATTAAACTAATTTATACAATAAAACAATTATTCGGCAAGAACCCCTCCGCAGGTGAAGGCCTCCTCCAAAGATTGCCATTTTACCCTGTCCTGGGCTATTTGCTTCCATCTTGGGCCAGCTACTTTGTGTATTTCGTCCTCCCGTCTCGTACGCGGTCTACCTCTAGGACGTTTCCCATCCGGTCCCATCCAAGACGTTACACGTTATAACCAATTAACGAGCTTTCTATGTTCTGTAAAATTTTGATGACTTAACTGTAAGAGTTAATCCTCAAGCTACTTATTAATTTTACTATTAATTTTGGTGATTTCAAATAAATATCTTGTATATTCAATAAGTGAGTGTCTTTGTTTTTACGACATATTCTAAACTCTTTAGTTTGGGGAGGTTAGAAATGCTTAGTCATTATTCGTTTCCTGTGTGTAATTGTGTGTGCCCAATGTGACTTTTTCCGAGTTATATATACTTTCTAAGATTATTTAGACACAACTGACAAACGGTAAAGGAAAACATCGTGAGAAAACTTGGATTTATAATTTCTAACTATAAGTTTGAAATCACCAACCTGCATTGAGCAAGCGTGGTGACTAATACTCAAAGCTTCTCCGTATGAGAAGGGGCTTTGTTCAGCAGTGCAGGCCTGTTGATGATGACAATGATGACGAAAATTAAAACTATGTCAGCTTCTTAAAAAAATTGTCAACTTATTAGATATTATATGATCATAAGTAAGGGTTTTAATTAACCACTGAAACCTTGGTTACTGTGAAAATTTTATAAGCTTGATTCAGCTTGAATTTCTTAATTTTAGGATCTTTTTTGTTCATATTACCAAGAGGTCCAGGTTCAAATTTATCTATTTGTTAAAAACAGTTTCTTAAAATGAAGTATAATATCTAAATTAACAGATAATGGGTATACTACATAGTTATATATGTACAACATAAAATATAATTAGCTGACTGCTCTTTAGACCTTTATTATCATCTTAATTTTGTTCTATTAAAAAATAAAACTTTTTCAATTTCCACAAGGGCAGTAAAATAACATATTTGCAATAAATAATACTTATTCTTTGAATTTAGTTACACTCTGAATTAACTTAAAATCACGGGTTACTCACGTGAATATACTGAGATAAGCTCTACTAGTTTCGAGCCACAGAGTGGCTCTTCCTCATGAGTGTGTGCGCGGTTGTGGCAGTGTCGCGCAGCCTACTTTAATTTAGTATGTCTCATGATAGTTATTATAAAAACCTCTGAATTAATCACTACAATTACTTTAAATTTGGACCGTTAGTAATATAACCTTCATAGTACAAACGTAATTAAATTGTAAAAATAGTTCCGAATTATATTATAAACAGCAACTAAATTAAAGCAATTATGAACACAGTAACTGTTATATTCTATTAATAGAAGTGAGTTATAAATAAGTTTTAAAATTTTATTAAATTGTTTATTTGGTACTAGCTGTTGCCTGAGACTTTGTCCGCGTAGAATATGATTCCTATTTTATCCCAAGGGAGCATTTAATAAGGATAAAAAGTGACCTATTACCCAAGTCAGCCCATACCTTGCTTGTATATAAAATTTCATTACAATCAGTAGTTTCAGGGTGATTGAGGGACAGACATGCAAATAATGCAACTCACATTTATAATATTCGTGTGAAAGATTGAAACGTATTAATTTAGTGCTATTTTTTATAGTTGGTTGTATAGATATTTTGTGTTAACAGTTTATCTTGGTACGTAATTGGAGGCTATAAATATGCAACAGGTTATTATACAACAATAGCCTTGTTTTGTTATTATTGGGAATCATATACTTTAGGGGATAACCGTTTTTTATTGAGGAGAGCCATAAGACTATGGCTCTCCTCAACCTCCAGGACACCTCTAGACAAAGGTGTCCTCTCAGGAACTGTTGATGATGAGGTTTTCGTTTAGTTGCAGTGAATCAGTATTTGCTGGAAAGTCCTTTTTTAACCGACTTCCCAAAAAAGCGGATGCCATAAATTCGGCTGTATGTTGCTTTTTTCGTAAGTACTTTTTACATGCATACAGGATCAGGAGAAGTCTTTTAAATAACAGAATACAGAATGATTTTTCATCAATTAGGAAAAGAAGGAGGATCGTAAGATCGATCGTATGTATGTATGCATTGTAAGGAAAATGTACATACAGTAAAGGACCTTCTTAGTGTTATTTTTATTATAATATCCACAAATACAACTATTGACTACGTTGTTAAGAAATAGATTCTCGGGTCCAGCAAAGAGTATTTTCTTCTGTCGAAAGCTATCATTTGTAGTACGGAGACTGGAACGGTGACCGATGCATGACAATAGGTTCTTTCCTTGTATGTGCGATTAATAACATTGACTGACACTGAATTACATTTAATATAAGTTAATCTTCACCCTACCGTTTTAGTCCATAAAAAATGCGATATTTTGTTTCAAAAAGTTCACGTTGATAACTAAAAATGTATCTAAGTAAGTAAGTAAGTCAATCAGAAATGCACTAGATAAGTATTTTTTCCTCAGTAGCTTATTTCGTATTTAAAGTTCATTAAATTATCGAAATAATTAAATAAACATCAGGAAGGGAATAAGATACTATTGTGTGTGGGAAATGTGACTGAATCTGAATCTGACTGAAATCTGACTGGTCACTGACTGCCGGGCAAGGGGTCTCGGATTCGATTCCCGAGTCGGGTTTAAAAAAATCTCAATAGTAGAACGGAGTCTGGAATTGTGCCCGGAATATAGCAATAGAGTCACCCCCTATTACATGGGACTGATAACATAAATAGTACAATAGTAAAAGTAAAATAGTACAGTGACATCAAGTGCCGTAATGTGCACCCCTGCCTACCCCTTCGGGGACAAAAGGCGTGATGTTGTGTTATGTATGTGGGTGGGAAATCCTTCCTATTCTTTGGGTTGAAGATCTCTTACTTTCTCAGTTTCAGTATTTGGACTGGCTGAAGCTATTTTCAGCGTGGAGAAGCTTTTACGAAAATTACCGTATTTTTGAAAAATAATAAGCTGTTGTATCCGTCACACAAACAGATACAAGTAACTTTTTTATATGTCTAAATTTTATACAGGTTGTTTAAGACGAAATTAAAGAAATAGATATTTTTTAAAGTTTATCATCATTCTCATTTCACACAAGTTTCATACAAAAATATAAATAGGTAGGTTGTAGGTCAAACATTCATAACAATCACTCATTCAGGAACGTTCAGTAATGATGGTAGCCATGGGCGGGGGCGGGGGCGGGGTGTACAGCGGGGGCTGAGTTGTGTACGACAGCGTTGAAACTGAAACAATAAGAACCATTTTAATTTTGCATCATAACAGAAAAATAATCGTAGTAAACGTCTACGAATTTCTTTAGAACTTACCCATGGTGGTCGTCAGCAGTGTACTCGACCTTGCGCACGGAGCCATCAGGCTGCACCAGGGAGTAGTATCCATGCACGGCGTCACCGTCGCGGCTCTCGTGCTGGGACTTGTGATCGCCGGTGTGGGGGTCAGCCACGGAGTAAGCGTAGTCGTATTTGGGGTGAGCCTATGGTAAAAAACAATTATTATTAATGTTGAATTTAAACCAACATTTTTGGAAAATTTATTTTAAGTTATGATGATTTAAGACATACGTAAGTGTCGTGGCCGTCGTAGTGAGCTACGGGGGCAGCGTAGTGAGCTACGGGGGCAGCGGCATAGTGGGCTACGACGGGGGCGGCGTAGTGTGCTACGTGGGCAGCGGCGTAGTGCAGAGGGGCGACATGAGCCTCGTCGTGACGGACAATGCTCTGAGAGGACACAGCGTGGCCATGTCCCAAAAGGCCAGCGTTGGCAGCAGCCAACAGGGCGCCGAAAGCTACGATCTGAAAATAATTTTGAAGATTTAGGAAATTTACCTTTTATTATTCTTACAAAAACAAAATTACTGGAAAATTTTTGAATTTACACTAGAATACTTCGTAGAAACTACTCAATATAGCTTTTTATTTTAGTTTCTGTATTTAAAATAATACTTAATATAACAACTCACTTTGCTGAACATTTTTGGTGTTTAGATTGTAAGAATCAAAAGTTGATTAATGTCAATGGTCCTGCAGTATGGTTTTATAGAACGCGGCCGGCGCGTGCGCGAGCGCGGTGGGGCGGAGAAATGCGCGCGCACCTTGACTGTGTAACTTTGACATGTACCAAGGTCGCAGTTCCTGCTTTACATTTGTACCTACGCGTTGAAATCTGTCCGGATCTACATCAATTAACACGTAGGCGTCTATTGTTAATTATACTTAAATATGTTGTAAGGATTGTGAACTATTTATAATATCTAAATCGTGAATTATCGACCACTGTGATGTGATTTACTGATTCGCATTCCGGATAAACGATCTAGTAGACTTTAACGTGTCGGAATCGAAATATTCATAGAAGTCTTAGTTATTGACATCACCAGGATTCAGAGATGATTTGTTGCTCAATCAATTTGCAGAATAAAAGATCGGTATTTAATATTTACATTGTTTTTCTTTACCATTTCCCATGGATTAATGTAGGATGTAATAATATCAAACTTTTATTGCACTATAAAACAATTATGATTACATACTAACATAGATGTAAGTTTTACTAACATTTTGTGAGTCCTGGTTACTTTAAATAAATGATTTATATTATATATATATATTATATTTAATAAAAGCCTGTGAAACGACAGTCGAAAAAATATATACTGGACTAGTAAAAAGTAGTTTTAGCATATTTGTATTGGTGTATGAACACATTGCATTTGTTTACTATGATTTATTTTACAATTAAGTAGTAATTATTACACATGGTATGTCTGTCGACAATAGTTAGTAATCTGTTTGTTATATCTAATACATAAATTATATTAAACTGCGTAACTAGATCGCCTTTTTGCAATTCCAGTTTGGCATGTAGTCATGTTTCTAGATTTTGAAAGCGGTTTATACAGCTGTGGGATTGAATATAGGTTATACAAATATCTCTTAGGTAATGCTAATCAACCTGAAAGTAGAAAATAGGTTGACATTTTTTAATAATTGGGTACTTTCCTTAATCAAAAATGAATTGTATCGACTGTTCAATACAATTAAATATAAAAAAATAATCACACTAACTTTTATTAATTGATTTTATGACCAACTTAAAACTTCAATTCTTAATTTTAGTATTTTTCTAGCAAATTTTTAAGAAATTAGTGTGCTGTGTGACGCTAAAAAATGTGACGTCACATAATCTCGTATAACGTATGTACACAAAACACCGTTAATTAGTTCGCAGCGCTACACATCGACACTAGTATGACTACACAATATACATGTGTGGGTAATTTCATATTAATAGAAATGTATAGAAACATTCGTCTATCACACACATCTTGGTATTTAAATATCATTTTTGTGTCAGTATACGTTATAATATTTAGTAAATAAGTTTAAATAAAAACGAGGGTAAAGATAAAAATAACTTATAGAAAACTATCGTTTTTGAAAGATCGAAAAAGTATTAAATTTGACAAGGTGGCAAGTACCCAATTTTACTCTTATTGAAATTCTCAAATATTTTAATTCAGTATACTTGTTGCTTTATGGGTACTATAAGAGAAATAAATTTTATTAATGTTATAATTGTATCTACGCTAAGATTCGTATTAAGGTAGTCTAAATAGTTTTGGGATTGTTACTAGTTGCTGCCTCGTTGAGTAAGTGGTCGCAAGTGTGGCGGCGGGCTAGGGGTCTCGGGTTCGATTCCCGGGTCGGGCAAAGAATTACTGGGATTTTTAAAAAAAATCTCAATAGTAGTACGGAGTCTGGAAATGTGCCCGATATATAACAATAGGCGTAAGCCTAGTGGATAACCCCTATTAGATGGATTTCATAACATAAATAGTGAAAAGTGGGTGTTACACTGTACAGTGGCATTAAGTGCCGCAATGTTTACCTCTGCCTATCCCTTCGGGGATAAAAGAAGTGATGTTATGTGTTGTTCGAGGGTGCCAAGACTTTATCAGTTTTACCTCATTACACAATGGCACTCAAATTTAAGACATAAATAATTTACATTACCTTATTTTTTATCTAAAATCTAAATGGATCATAAAACGTAATCCAATAATGGATAACATTAACTAGACAACGAGGTATGTCGTAATTAATTTATTGTTCTAGAGCTTTGTGAGCATTTCCCGGTCAGCTGGTGGTTTAGTGAGCTTGTAAAACTGGCTGGAGCTGACGTCACAGACTATTAACATACGAGTATGTGACGCTATCTACGTCACAGTCGCCATACATGTTAATAGATTAGAAGGCGTTTAAAACTGGTTTCCATGTATGTGAATGTGAGGTGACATAGAAATGTAAATGTATAATGAGACTGTGATCATGATAGCAACTGTGTTGTTGATCATGTTCGTCTTAAGTGCAAGTGTCGAGCAATAGATTTTAGTCCTTGGTAACTGTTTTTTTTTAGTTTTTATTCGGAAAATTGAATCATAGTTCAATCCCAATATCACAATTATAGTTATAAGTGTGGGAGGGTCATGCTTCGGCACGAACGGACCCGCTCGATCGGACTGATACCATGGCCTCACAGAAAACTGACGTAAAGCAGCGCTTGTATTGTATTTCGTCATGTGAGTGAAACCTCACTCACAGGGGGTAACCACTCCCTTCCCCAATCTCTCCAATCCCTGAATCCGCAACAATCCTCAAACTCCTAATCCCTAAAAGGCCGGTAACGCACTTGTAACGCCTCTGGCGTTCCAGGTACCCATGAGCGACGCTGATTGCTTACCATCAGGTAATCCTTCTGCTCGTTTACCGGCTGATGTGATAAAAAATCATTCCGTCGGGGAATTCAAGATTATGATTATGTAAGTATCTACTAATACAATTACGTATTCTGATTAAGGTGATCGTAATGATTAGCGAATCATTAGTTCTATTTCTACCCGACCTAATTTTAAACGCTAAACCGGAGGTCGAGAACGCAGCCTTCAAACCAGGAAATTCCGTGTATAGCCCAGAGAGTAAACCACTCAACTTGCAATAAATCTCATTGAGATTACGTGCGTAAGTATTATTATCAGCTACCGAAACTATACAGGTACTAAAGGCGGAAATTATGCCTAATTTGATTTCGCAAAAACTCATAATATCCTTTAAAACATATTACACATACCATGTTGTGTTAGAAATCAAAAACATTAACGTGGTTAAATTATTTTCTTTTGAAAACTAAAGAAGTGTTTTTTATAAAACTGTACAGGAGATTTTTGCATTAGATTAAATAAGTTCTGATTTAAAGGGTCATTTTTATTATCGCAGTATGGCAGTGGTAAAACTGCTCAACATACTAATGTATATGTCAGATACATACCTGGCTCTTATAAATTGCGTTTCGTGTTCTTAATTTGTTATGCATAGCAGAAAATAATTTGAATTTCCAAAAATGAGTACCTAAGGAAATAGATTTTTTCTATGGTATAATTATTCTAATTTAATTTACGTCCTATGTTGGGGAAACACCTGTCTACATTTATCTTGCTAATTATTTCCTTCTCGGGGTTTGTTTGACCAGCTTATCTCTGTGTTCCAGTTGAATCAACAGGTAAATGGATAATATTTGCTATTATAGCGATCAAGGGCATACAATGTGAAAGTTACTATTAAAAAAAATGAATAAATAG